AAATGGATAAATGTAGTATAAAAAATATTGTTACTATGCCCATGTTTTGTTGACCTGATACAAATGTTTATCAGTTGGGGGCTCAGGTCTCTGCTACTGTTATTTTGTGGGTCAAAAACTGAAAAGTTTGGGAACCAGTGCACTTTGGTTCCCAAAGTTGGGCTTGGGACCCAATTATGGGTCATGAAGCACCTTGGATAATCTCCAGAAATCAATTTAAAGGGTAATGAAATAATTGCTGATGTAATATTTTCACTATATTTATTACAAAAACACAAAATAAGTAAAAATAAGCATTTATATTTGTGTATAAGCTGTTTAGATTGTCAAAAAGCCTGTGTTTTTAGGGTTATTAACAAAGTCCATGTACTCAAATCAGTAATATTTGGGGTCACAAGTTTTTGCCATGAATATTTTGTGGGTCAGAAGATAAAGTTTGGGAACCACTGTGTTAGAGGAAATGTGTGAGAATATATTGCAACAAGATTTATGTGTGATGCAAATTTAAATGAAATTTCATTTAGTTTTGACTAATTTGTATGTTTAAGAAAAAAATATGCCGATTTTAAAAATATGTCGATTCAAGAATTCAAATTATTTTTCAGAGATGAGATTATGGTATGTGGAGAATAGAGAATTTTAAAACTTGTCACGTTGTAACAGGGTGAGAGGAGTCAAATGTGTGTACACCACTAAACAATTTTCAAATGGCCAAACAAATACACTTTTTAATTTGAAAGCAGCAGGAAAAAAACATGAATTTGTGACGTTTAAAGTTAAAAATGACACTGTAAGAAATGGAGTTTTCTCAATAAACAGCCACATCTTAGATTACATTAATCATGCTATATTTTCTCTTCATTCTGCAGGAACCACATGTTTTTTTTTCTTATTTGAAGTAGAGGTGCATTTTTGAGAGTATGATAACAATCTACTGTACATTCCTGTGATTAAACAACTCTAAATAATAAACTTTAACATAACTGTTAATATCAGTGCAACCAGCATTCAATTAATTTCTAAACAAGGATTATTTTTATTAAAAGCTTCATTCTTCTGCATGAAACCAGCAGTAATAAATGTAACCTAAGAAGAGGCTGGCAGCTGTCACATARAATATGAAGTAAATTAAGTTGACGGTGTGAGAGTTCCTGGTCCAGAAGCCGGGCTTCTCTTCCTCCTTCATGTTGCGGAGCAGCAGAGTCACCGTCTTCACGAACTCCTTCAGCTCACCGGAGAACTTTTCAGAAGCTTGCTCACCTGTCAGTTCGCTGACAGAACCCTGAAT